CTGGCCGCCCGCGCCCAGGCCGCGTCTCTGGCCGCCCGCGCCCCGGCCGCCCTCCTCCGCACCTGGCTGCAGCTGTCGCTGTTTCATCTGCTCCCGCAGGTGCGACCCAGGGCCGGCTCTCCTCCTGGCCTTTCGATTCCTCACTCGGGCTAGCATGAGTTTTTCCGCCCCGATCCAGATCGAGGAGCGTTGACCAAAAAAAAAGGAGAGGAGCACAACAGAGTTCCCTCATGTCTTCCTCGGGCTATGTTGCAGTCCCTAGGTGCTCCATGATCTTCGATGGCACCAACTATGCTGAGTTTGTGGGGTTCATGCGCATCCATATGCGAGGCCTTCTTCTGTGGGGTGTTCTTTCTGGCGAGGTCCCCTGCCCGTCGTGCCCTGTTGCGCCCGTGGCTCCAATCCCACCGGTGCCGCCGGTCCTTGCTGCTGAGGCTTCTCAAGCTGACCGGGATGCCGCCAAGGCCCTTGATGATGCTGCCGTTGATGCTTATGATCAGCAGGTATCTGCTTATTCAGATGCTCTTTCGGTGTACCGTGATGATCTCTCTACTTACACTCAGTGATGCAATGATGATGCTCGTGCTGCGGCTGTTCTCACTGCCAGTGTCCTCCCTCAGTTTGCTTTAGAGTTTATGGGACTTGGCACAGTTGCAGCGATGTGGTCTTATCTTTGTCAGCGCTATCAGCCCTCTGGTGATGCTCTCTACCTATCTGTCGTGCGTCGGGAGCACGCCCTTCAGCAAGGTGATTCATCTGTTGATGAGTTCTATTCACAGTGCTCTGCCATCTGGCGTCAGCTTGACTCTCTTCGGACAGTTGTTTGTGGCACCTGTCGTGCTGTCAGACTACTCGGTCTGATCCGGAGTTTCAGCGGGTCCATGAGTTCCTATCACGTCTCCGCTCTGAGTTTGAACCGCGCCGTGCTCACGTGCTTGCTCATGGCCGTGTTCCTATCTCGGAGGTGCTTGCTGAGCTTCGTGCTGAAGAGACCCGTCTTCGCTCTGCTGGTTTGCTGGTGGTCCCGTCTGTGTTGGCTGCTCGGGCTCCTGTGTCATCAGCTCGGCTCACCGCTCCACCGCTCCTTCCAACACCTTCGGGGGGGGGGGGTCGCCCTGTTTATACTGAGAGGGGCACGTCGCGCCGTGACACCGTCTGTGGTTACTGCTCCCGGTCAGGTCACCCAGAGTCTGATTGTCGCCAGAAGAAGCGTGATCAGAGGCGCTCCTCTTCCAGCGGGACTCCTGTGTCTTCCTCGGCTCCGTCACTCACTGACCAGGACATTGTTCGCCTCAAGCGTCTTCTTGCTTCCTCGGGCTCCTCATCGACTGGCTCCGCTGCTGCTGTGACTGCATCCTCTTCCTCACCATCACCGGCATCTACATAGTCAGGTACATCCTCGTGGGTTCTAGATTCTGGAGCCTCCTTTCATATGTCTTCCGATTCTTCTGCGTTGTCTTCTCTCCGACCACTTGATTCGCCTGTTAATGTTCTTACTGTCGATGGCACATCTCTTCCTGTTGCTAGTCGTGGTATTCTTTCCACTCCATCTTTTTCTGTTCCGAGTGTTTCACATGTTCCTCGCCTTACCATGAATCTTTTTTCCGCCGCCCAACTTACTGATTCTGGTTGTCGTGTCATTCTTGATACCTACTCTTGCTCCATTCAGGATCGTCGCACCAAGGCTTTGGTTGGTGCTGGCCCCGGCGCCGTGAGTCAGAGGGCCTTTGGGAGGTTGACTGGCTTTGTGTTCCTTCCGCTGTCACCACTTCTGCCAGCTCCCATGCTCTTGCTGCCTCCTCGTCTGCGTCCTTCCAGCAGTGGCATCATCGTCTTGGTCACATCTGTGGCTCTCGCTTGTCTTCTTTAGTTCGTCAGGGCCTCTTAGGGTCTGTATCTGGAGATGTCTCCTTACATTGTAATGGTTGCAGACTTGGGAAACAGACTCAGTTAACTTATCCTACTAGTGAGTCTGTATCTCAGCGTCCTTTTGACTTAGTTCATTCTGATGTTTGGGGTCCTGCTCCCTTTGATTCAAAAGGTGGTCATCGCTACTATGTTTTGTTTATTGATGATTTCTCTCGCTACACTTGGCTCTACTTCATGAAATCTCGTAGCGAGGTTCTCCCTATATACAAACGTTGTGCTGCCATGGTTCACACCCAGTTCTCCACGCCCATTCGCACTTTTTGTGCTGACTCTGCTGGAGAGTATATCTCTCAGCTGTTGCGTGATTTTCTCGTGGAACAGGGTACTCTTGCCCAGTTTTCATGCCCTGGTGCTCATGCTCAGAATGGTGTTGCCGAACGTAAGCATCATCATTTACTTGAGATGGCTCGTGCGATGATGATTGCTGCTTCCCTTCCACCCCATTTTTGGGCTGAGGCTGTCTCTGTATCCACCTATCTCATCAACATTCAGCCTCGACTGCCTTGCAGGATGGTATTCCTCTGGCGTGTCTCACTGGTCGCTCTCCTGACTACTCCACTCTCCGTATGTTTGGATGCATGTGCTATGTTCTTCTTGCCCCCCGAGAACGCACCCAACTGACTGCTCAGTCAGTTGAGTGTGTTTTCCTTGGTTGCAGTGATGAGCACAAGGGCTATCGATGTTGGGATCCTGTGGGTCGCCGCTTGCGCATCTCGCATGATGTGACCTTTGACGAGTCTCGTTCCTACTACCCACGTCCTTCTTCCTCAAGTTTCTCTGTGGACGATCTCTCTTTCCTTCTCCTTCCTCATACACCCTGCTATGTGCCTCATGTGTCATCTATTCCTCCGGCATCTCCCATTCCTTCTCCTTCATCACCGACACCATCTTCTCCACTCTCTTCCTCCACCTCTCCACCATCGTCTCCAGTTCGTCGCCCTCTCTCACCGTTTCCTCTCCACTACACTCGTCGCCCTCGTCCTGAGGATGTCTCCTCTGACGCGCCTTCCACCTCTGGTGCACCTCTCCTCACGCCTCCCCCGGTTCACAACCTCCGGGCTCGGCCTCACCCACCGCCTGATCTCTACTCTCCTGATCGGTATGGTCTCTCTGTCATCACTGAGCCCACTTCCTATCATACTGCCATGACTCAACCTGAATGGCAGCTTGCGATGGCTGAAGAACTTGCTGCCCTTGAGCGCTCTGGCACATGGGAGCTGGTTTCCCTCCCTTCCGGTGTTCGTCCCATCACCTGCAAGTGGGTCTACAAGATTAAGACCCGCTCCGATGGTTCTCTTGAGCGCTACAAAGCTCGTCTTGTGGCCCGTGGTTTTCAGCAGGAGCAGGGACGCGACTATGACGAGACATTCACTCATGTTGCTCACATGACCACTGTCCGCACTCTCCTTTCCGTGGCTTTTGTTCGCCAGTGGCCTATCTCTCAACTT